GGGGGGGGGATCTCATTGTGAAGATTAAAACTTTTGTGTTTTCTCACTAATGTGTATTTAAAATTAGTTTTCATTCAATGGTTCCAAGGTGCCATCCGAGCAAGCAATCATCTGAATGGTTACCTGTCCATACAATTAACTGAGTGAGTGCTGGCATGTGTCCCTTAAATCAATACTCGAGGTGTGACTCAATTACCAGGTGTCAAGTAATATCTAAATAGCCTCCTGCAGTTTGTCTTACCTGTGATCTACCTGGATATGTCTTACCTGATATCTACCTGGGTAGGAATCCGTAGTTAATGACTGCCATATAGATGTTTCTGTTACCTATGTGGATAGTTTGATGCCATAAATGTAACCTCATCAATTGCTTCAGTGACCCAATTTAGAGGTCAGTTTTGGATAATTAATTAATTTATGCCATACAGGCGAACAAGTCGTATTTTAATTAGGTATCACCAGGTAGATTTGAGAGACAGTTTTGACAACAGGTGTAGACGCAGCTGATGAAGTACATCAGGTAGATATTGAACTAACAGATGTTTTTTTACTGGTGTGTCGTCTGCTGGATAACTACTCAGCAGTGAATCGAAGCAGATGTAATACAACTCAAACAAGAGTTTAAAAAAAAAATGGTGGAAATATTCTTAAATGTTTTTGAAAACAAATATAAAACAGAAAAAAAGTTGTCACATGTCAGGCAGTGCAGCACTTCAAAGTTATTTGTGAAACAAACTTAAACAAAGTAGCATTTTCTTTCAATGGGGTTAAAAATGGCATGAATGCATTGTATCTAAAAATAGAATTTATGACATCCAGCTGCAAGCAGCTTCTATTGTGTAGGTAATGTTTTGGAGATAATAATGTTCACTATAAGACAAAATTGAATGGTGAAAGCAATGATTCAGTTTTTCATACTTTTTAACTGAATGTCTCTTAATCAGTATATACTGTTTCATGAATAAAGTGTATTTAATCATATATATATGTATATAAAAATTCTTTGTTTATTTTGAAATCTTATTCAGTTCAGTCAAATTTCAATAAACTAATAAACTTTGCAATATCTTATATTGACGATGTTGCTATCAGAAATAAGGCAATTCATAGTCATAAATGAATCATATAAATTAAATACCTAACTAGATGTTTATACAGTTTTTCACAAAATAAAGATACAGTTTAATAGAAATTTTGTGCCATATATATTGGATAACAGTTTGCTGTGTTCTGTCGTGACATATATTTTTTTGGTGAAATTACAAGAAAAAAACTGCATATTTACAAGATAAATAAACATATGAGAAAAAGAAATCTGAACAAAGACATTTTTCATTTGTTTAGATGATGCATGTACTATCGAGGCATTTATAAATTACTTGTGTATTATGTTATGCATAAGAATTTAGAATATGTAAATTATTTACTACTGACAACGTTGGAATACACAGCATTAGCATGAGTATCCCGTTCCTGGCCCCTCATTGGGTGACTGGATTATGACCACGTGATAGGTCACGTGGCCGGAAAGAGCGGTAAAGACAAACCGGGATAGCGCGGTAAACATCACACTGTTATCAACAACGAAGAAGACAGGATGAGTTCTCTGCTTTCCACAGCTCCCACCAAACTTATGGAATCTGAACGATCATTCAAACGAGCATGCGACGAAATTATTGCACTGAACAGACAACTTGACGAATTATCAAGACGTTACGAGAAAGCCAGCAAGGAAAATCGCCGGTCATTTCGATACTCGCTCCGGCTGAGAATGGCGGTTACTGAAGGAGTACGAAACATGTTCTACGAATACGCCTCGGCCAAAGCTGACGAAATCACTGATTTACGATGCCAGGTACGGAACGAAACTGAAGAGGATGATGACTTCAATGACGATTTCAGCGAAAATGATCCCGTATCTTTCTTAAGCAGTCCACTTCATGGCGACGACGAAGATGACGATTGGGACGAAGAAAATATGGATGTCGACTCGGACCCAGCTACGGATTCCAACGACAGTGTGTGAATCTGCCGAAGACAAAGATCGTAAAGATCTCTCCTACCAAACGACTGGGGTACCCTACCCCTTTGTCTGGTCGTCATCAGCCACTGACCAGCGCACATATGTCCGGCCAGGAACTCTCGAGACAAAAAAAAACTGCCTTCAAAACTGTCATTGACAGCCCCAAACGGCTCTTTTCAGAGCCATACACTTTTCTCAAAAAGTGTCCATGTATCGCTCGAAAACGCTGAATTGTTGTTTGTTTCCTTCTTTGCTTGGGATGGGTAAAACATGATAATATTCTAAAGCCTGACCGGTTTCATTGTTTGAAATTTCCACTTAGACAGGGGGAGTTCCATTATTCTTTGTTATTACAGCGAGGTTATCAAAGCACATGTGTTTAGACAAAAATTAAGGTGCATGCTAGCAATATTAAACTGTTTATATAATAATTACTTTGCTTGGGCTAATGTGTTAAATGGCAATACCCGTATTAGCTATATAGTTTAATATAGCTTTTCACACTGCATTAAGGTATCGCAAAGTTTGTATTCGCCTCGTCAAAAGGATGGTTTATAATGGTGCAGGTTATTTTTTATTGCCATTCAAAGGAAAATCCTTATCTTATTTCATTGGAAGGCTCCAGCCCATGGAATATATTAGGTTCTGAATTATTCAACCCTCAAGAAATCATTTGAATATTTCAATAAAGTCTGTATTGTGTTATAAGGTGACACCTTGAACCAAATGCTAATACTTGATGCATACATAAGTTGTTGCCACATGGAACACTAATGTGTGTGTATTAGAATTCTGGATACATATATACAGTATATGTGTATATTCTGTAGATAGTTGCTTTCGTAAACATCGGTGACAGACGATCAGTTTCTTATAGTGGATTAGTACTAATATTGATACCCGGCCTCGTTCTGGTGCTGACTGAAGCTACATTATCGCAGCTTATAGTGGATATGCTTCCTGGAATTTTACAGAATCTTCTGTATGAAAATAAAAAAATATTCGGAGAAACATGCCCTCTTATATATTTTTTCCTTGGAGAATTCTTCAGATGTTTTCTTTGGAGACTAACTTTTGACAAAATAATATGAACACAGCCTAGTTAAAAAATATCAAGGAATGTAGCCAGATTCTTACTTTTTACTCCAGACGTATTTTATGATGAAGATAGTACATGTTTTAATGCCACAGTTACTGCTATCATAATTGGTACATTGTGACCCTTGGGACAGACATAAATCTTATTCACTGGTATAACTACAGTGTGTGTCAATTGCAATTATATTTTGCCACTTGTTTCCTGGGCTTTAGGGTATATAGTTTAAGACATTTAATCTCAGCATGTCTTGATCACCAGACTAGACTTTTGAGAAACCTGTTAGAAAAGTGACTCGGTAGATCATTGGTGTTAATGTCGGCTTGAAGGCAAAAAGATTGCATTAATTTATAAAAGTTAAATATAGTTGTCATTTAATTGATTGACAGTATGTTGCTCAAATATTGGTTTTCCTCCTATTCATTCTCCAACAAATATTTAACTTTAGTTTTAGAGTTATTAAAGATGTTTGAGATAAATATAAAGTCTGACAATGTCCTAAATGAACTATCTCAAAAATGATGTTTCTTGTCACCCCTTTGAGCTCATTGATGTTGCTACGATCAAAATAAACTATTTTTGTAACTGTACAATTGTCAGTTTCAGGTAAATCTCATTTGTTTTGCTAAATGTAATGCTTACAGCAAACTGACAAAGCATCCGGTTGTACATCATTAGTACCTGAAAAACATGAAATCCAACGAATATCTGTTCCACATTAAAGTCCTTTGATTATAACTTTTTTTTAAAATAGTTTTGGTATATAAATTTTAGTTTGGTAAATAAAGAACCAGTTCGACAATATTTTAGGTATTTTGTGATAAGATCATATATCCAACAATTATAATTAAAACTTCATTTTACCCTCATCATCAATTCCTCCCAGATATCAACACTGAGAACTGGGATACAAAATTAATGTTAGTTGGAAAGACTTATCGGGAAGAATTTTCAGTACCATCAATTTATTTACCTTTGGAATTCCAGGTTGTAATAGAACGGCCTCCGAACCCCAAATACCTTTAAGTCATAAATTATTGAATTCAAGTGAAAGATTTCTTTTTATTTGTTTATCTAATATCTGTCAAAATAATGTTTATACAAAGGTCTTTGTTTTACAACTGTTCAGAACTTATTTTTATCCAAACAGGACTGAAGTGTCGGACATCGTCTATAGCAGATCTGGCAGAGATTGATTTAGGGGATCGAGTGATCGTGGCAGGGCAGAGGAAAGGCACAGTTCGGTTTTGTGGGGAGGCCAGGTTTGCACCAGGTATGTTGTTAATGGCAGATCTTTCCTGAATGAGGACTGGAGATAATTTCTTGTTTAAATTGGTGTACTTTTGAAACACCTCCCTGTTTTTAACAAGAAATATATCAAGAGGGAAGCTTTAGAATGATGAAGTTTTTTAATTGATTTTTAGCACACAGAAAAAAGGAAGTAAATGTTTTGAAATTTTGCATTGCAGTGAGCACATTGTATCAAATGATCAATTGTAATGCATGCAAAGATTGATAATCCCTGTATACTAACAGTTTCTTCTTCATATTTACAATTTAATATTTCTATTCCTAGGTATATGGTATGGTATAGAATTGGACCGTCCCGTTGGGAAAAACGATGGTTCCGTAAACACAGACCGCTACTTCCACTGTAAACCTAAACATGGTGTGTTCGCTCCGTTGTCACGGATACAGAAGTAAGTCATGTTGATTGCTTTAAAACTATCACGTCTTTGGAAACTTAACAGAAAAATGTGGAACTACTACAGCAAGTAATTCCAACTCCAATTATTTTGATTCCATAGACTTGGAGCATATAACCTCATGATAAAAGCACGACTTACACTTAAACTTCCAATAGTCAAAGGGAGATAATAAGTAGCTTTTGTTGTGGCTGATGATGGCTTGGCACATGCCTGCAGTATTTTAGTTATTGAACTTAATGCCTGGAAAAAATAACTCTAGAAGGAGTTGGAAAGAACATGGTTTAAGGTGGAAAGTCCAACCACTTTTCTACTGAATGCAGACATTGAAAGTTATTTTCCAGTTAAATCTTGTTACACCTCTTTATTCATACAAGTACAGTTATAGATCACTTTAAGGGAGTTAGAGCATTTGAAAATAATTCCCAGTGAAGTTGCAGAAAAGTATTTATATCTAATATCATGACAGGTAATGCATTCTGTGATATGCTGTATTATCAGTAATAGGTTCACAGGAATGTAATTCCCCTCATAGTGTAAATCATTTTTTTGTGTAAATTTAAAACATAATAGGTGTCTTAATTTTGTTTTACAAAACTCTTTGCTATAGTAAATGGGCGAGCTACACCAAGTCAGGTAAATTAACAAATTATAATATTTTTCATCGGTGATCCAACAGAGAACATAGGGACTCTACCTTAGATTTTATTTTTGTATGTTGATTACAATGTTGAGGTGTATATCTTTTTAATACCTATGTAATTGCCTCTGTGTTGCAGACTTGGTGAAAGACGATTCAGTTCTAACGAATCCCTTGATGCCATAAGTTGGGGTGCTGTTTCAGAAAAACATGACAGACGCTCAAATAGTAGTAAGTAAATAAAATACCTTACTCCAATAACTACTTACTTGCTTAATATGTATTGATCAACACTGTTTGATATATTTCTGTACAAAAGTATACTTTTTGTTGAAAAAATAAAGGGTTGAAAAAGTACATAATTTTTTTCTTATTTGTCAAAAATTCAATGAAAATTGCACACAAATGATTTTATTTAAAGAGATCAATTCAATATATTGGACAAATATTTAAATTTTCATGTGTTTCCAATTTACACTTCATGATGAATGTATTTTCTTTAAAGATGTCCTTTTTTTGACAACAGGTGTTCCATTTAGCACTCAAAATCGTGCCAAGACACCAATCAAAAGGTAAGATTTATCTAGAGTTCAAAGAAACTCAATCAGTTACTTATAAAACTATATCATATTGTGCTTAAGACCGAAGTATTTTGGTTTACATACAGAATGCTGACACATGTATTATATCTTTTTTCAGGCCTAAGAGTGGACTGTCCTTAGCCAGAGTACCAGGCTCCAGCGCACCATTCAAACTGGAGGTTGGAATGAGTGTCTTCTGTAATAGTGAATTAGGTAAGCTACCATGTAGATAAAGGAAAATATTTATCTATTTCAAGGGCGAAAGTTTGTTATTAAAAGATTTCCTTTAAAGTGTAAGAAAGAGAAAGGGGCTGGTGTATTTGAATTCCTTTTCCATGAATTTTTTGTGTTTTTGTGTATTATAATTCTTAGCATCAAACTACTGCAGTAGTTATCATATATGGTTACTATATTAAAACATTGAATCTTTTCTTTGGGTGAGGTATATACAAACCAGAGGGATGAAATGTCAAAGAAATTGGAAGGTTTATCGGAGAGTTTCTTCAATGTTTCTTCTTGGAGAGAGAGGGGGGGGTGTCACCTTATCTTTATATTATCCCCAGGGATAGATTTCATTTCTCAATTATTCCATAACAGCGCTTCAAAATCAGGGACAGACATATTTTGCATCTACCTGAATGTAGGGATACAGTTGCTTCACTTATGATTTGTGACTTCGCACTTGCGATCCAGGACTGTTGGCTAGATAGAATTTTCCAGTGATGATGGACATTGAACATTATCTAATGAGTTATAATATCTGTGTTTAATACATATATACTTAACAGTACTTGACTTGAGGTTTTGTTTGTATTTTCAGGTAATGTGCGTTACATCGGTCCCGCTGAATTCGGTGATGGTGTCTGGGTGGGAGTAGAACTTCGTACAGCCAAGGGTAAAAATGATGGATGTGTTCAGGACAAACGTTACTTTTCGTGTAAGCCAGACCATGGCTTGCTGGTCAGGCCAAGTAAGATCACGGTGCGCGGTATCAATGGGTCAAAACTTGTGTCGGACTACTATCATTCACGGGAAGGCGAGGCGTAATACCTCACATCCAAAGTGCCAGATAGGAAAAGTTCAAACGTCAAAATGATGCATTGCCATGTCATTGGTTGGGAGCCATACATATTACTACAAAGAAATCTCAAGAAAATAACATTACTATGACATATCAATCAAGACAAAATATAGCACTCATTGCCAGAAAACTAATCATTTTATTGTTTCTGTTAGATGCCTCTTAAAAAGAGATGGCAAGGATTTACGGAGTACATATTAAATCATTATCATACAATCAGAAAATCATCCTCAATTCTCCAGGGGTTACTCTCACTTACGCAGAGATATTACCCAGTAAGTGAGCATAACCCCTGGCGTGTCGAAGATGTTTTAGGATGTAAGGATGTGACATTATACAATTCAGAAAAAGAAGACATTGTCAAAAGAATAATTGCTCTTGTTGTGTGTCCGACTCAAAAACTATAACGGTTTGAAGAAGAAAGGTGTAATGTTTTCTGCCATTTCATAATTCTATCAAATTAGACAACGCTTGGTGCTTTATTGTGAAATATTTTTGGGGGTATGTTTGTGCCAAGAATATTTAGTTTTATAATGCTTTATACAAAAATGTATATCACTAGAAATCAAGATTTTATTTTGTAATTGAATAAAAATGAAGTTTGTGTTTGTTACACCTGTTAGCTTGTGAAAGTACACATGCACAGTTGTTCAGAGTTTTAATGTTAAAACTTGGGATTTTCTGGAGCAAGCTTTTGTTTCATCCTCTGATATGTTTCTGTACAAATACTTTTTGCACAAAGATATTTTCCAGTTCGATTAAAAAATGTTTGTTGTCCATCATAACAGTTCTGGCCAGTTCAGTTTTAAGGATTCAATATTTTATGCAAGATATCAAAGTAACAGAACTGGTATTTGATAGACTTGTCATTAGCTCAGCTGAAAGCATAAAAAAATAACAAAACTAATTATTTCCTGGAACTAATAATGTAAACTGCTGAAAAATGTCGATTGAAAAGTTAAAAAAGAAAATTTGGTAAGTTAAAATGTGCTAAAATGTTTTAAGATTTTGACTCAAAACAATCAGTTCATGTTGTTGGTGTATGGGTTTATATGTAACTGTCTACATGTATTGCATAGTAGAATTTGTACAATTTATAACAAGAGTATTTATTGCCACAAGATAAACATTATCCAACTATCAATTAAAAGTTGATTTTTGCTCTGACAGTTCACTGGTAAATATATTGAAGAATGAAAATGAAAAAGTGTCATATTGACTTCAGTTACAAATTACAATTGCAGTGCAGTATTTTAAATTTGGACATTTTAAGGTGGTTTCTGTGACAAGAGTTCAAAATAGCTGATTTTCTCAATAAGTAAATAAGGAATATATTAAGTTTTGGAACATGTAAAAAGTTTAAATTTGATTATCTGAGTCTTGGTTGACAAGATTCTACTGTGTAATTATTTGTTTTTCCTGTTTGTTATCTTTGCATAAAATTTAAGCCGTAAGGTTTTATCGAAATGTGTGTACATGTATATGAGAGAATAGAAGATTTTGATGTCCATTGCGCCGTATCCTGTAATTAATGTAATTTACTCAGGTCAAAGTTCAACACATTTTAGATTTTGGGTTTATATTTTATGCAAATCAATATGCAATGTGTTTATTCTACATGAACATATATACTTACTGATGACTAAGTGAATAACTACATACATTGCATACATGAACATTTGATTTAGGTAAATACATGTACATAAATGTGCCTATTACGAGTGAAACCTGTCCAATATGAACCCTGAGTTATCCAGAACCCTTTATTAACAAAACCTCAGATAGTTTTTATGCGTAATAAATAAAACAATATTTTTTATGGACTTTTTAAAGAAATAAATTTGTTGAATTATAAATGTGAAAGATACAATATGTTTTGATTAAATTTTATTACTTACGGAGACAAATTTGTAGTTACAGTAACAGTTTTTAGAAGTTAATTTGTGATATCGGGCCCCAGGATCTATCTTGGACTGAAGATTTTGCTTAGCCAATCACACACATGACGTCAGTTTTCATGACGTTATTCGTGATTAGCTAAGTCAAAACTTAAGACAATTTTAGATTTAAGATAGTTTCATGATCTTGGGGCCAGCTGTTTCTTAAACCAACGATATCACCTAATAGATATTGTCTACAGTGAAATATTGTAAGATGTTGTTTTTTTTCTGAGTTTGGTTGAAATATTGTTGGAAAATTGATTTGCTTTATTTATTCACTGAAAGGAAAATCTGTTCTCAGTCTTGTTCATGCTGTATAAAGATAACGTACAATTTCTGATGTCTAGTCCCAAGGTTAGAAATGGCAAATATTTATTAAATGATGTGCGTATCTACAATTCTATTTATTAATTACAGTAGAAATGTTACGCTTCCTGATTTTTATGACTAGATTTTTAAGATAAGCAAAATAGAAATGATATGTAAACAAATATTGATTAATATTTTCTTTGTTCTGGCAAGCATGACGTCATAGACTAACATAACTAACTAGATAGATGAGGTTATACTACTTATCAAGTTAAAAGCTGTTTTTGCTGACATCAACAGGAAATGAATTGTCGGTGAAATTGAGGCTAAAGATGGAAAAAGTAGTCTTTTAAGGCAATCAAATTATGTCTGATATTAGAGGTTGTATTGTTCGTCAGGTGTCGGTTAACTCGTTTTACACTAAGCCATTATACATCTAGCAGTAGGTTTATTAAAATCAGCTTATCGAAAAATTGGAGGGGAAATAATCATATGCAGTGAGTTTCTACTTGTCTTTTGGCAGTTGGCTTATGCTTAAAGTTTGATTAAAATAATGTCAGATTTTATTCTTGGCAGCGTCTATTTTGAAATAAATTGGAATCAAACTTCAAGAAATGTATCAACGTCACACAGTTATTTGTATTACTGATATTTGCTGTATTTTGTAATTAAGCCCCCTCCCCTAAGCCTAGTTGATCTAATTCGTAAAAATTGGAAAAAAAGCGATGAGCATGAGGCTACTAAATGTACTGTACCGTCAATTTTACTAGAGGGAGGGGGGCTTATTTGTGAGCATTAGCAATAAATTATGGTATAAGTAGGACTGCCAATCAAATCCAGACTTGTTAATCAATCAAATTTATTGAATTTCATTGTCATTTCATTATAGATCACATTGAAGAAGTTTTTCATATTGTTTTCGAATATCTTTTATGGTAAGGGGTAAAAGTTATATCGAGAAGGAAGAATAACAGTTACAACATAACATCTTTTTGAACAGTCACCTTCCTTTTGCTGATTATTTCCTTGTACTTTTATGTTTATAGAATATTTTGATTACACAGAATTGTATATAAACAGTTAACTATTTTCTTAAATTAATTAGATTTTTACACTGATGAAGATTTCACGTATTGTATTTAAATTTTCATATTTGAGCAACGATAATATTTTAGCTGTTTTATGAAGGATCCTGGCAAACTGTTGACGTTAGGTTGGCTAGTACATGTATTGCCAGATATGATAAAGATCACAGAGGCAGGGGAAAAAAATGTTTTTTTTATTATTATGGAATTGTTATTGATATTGGTAAATATCATATGTCTGACACCCTCTGCAAAGATGTCCTATACTGGATCTTAGCGTGGAAAGCTTAAGGAGATTTGTGTCACTGAAATATGATTCTGTTAATACATCATTATGTTTACAATGCTATCGTATAAATATAATTGCTTTCGATCTGGATAATGAATGCCAGTAAATGTTACTCTTAGGCCTCTAATTCAACTTTCTAGTCACTTGTTATATACTGCCACCTTATCTGTTTATCCTTACTCGCAGGATATTAAACATTTATTTGTGTGCATGAATTTCTGTAAAAAAAAAAAATGGTGGTATTTGTTGATTTTATAAAAGTTCATCCTTAATTGTTTTGGGAGTAAACCAAAGTAGATCTTCAAATATTCTCTTCAGAAGTTAACAAGACATCCAGATCCTTGTAAATTAGAATTCACATAAATATATAATACAAATCAAAACCAAAAACCCAAGAAACTCTGGTTTATCGAAGATCAGATAATTTAATTCATCATCAGTATGTTATGCACAGATTGTAAAAAAAAGTGGTCAAGTCTTTATTATACTGACAGTATTAAAATTATGTGAAGTCAACTAGGATGTATCAAATTTGAAGCCTAAATTGATTTTTGCTGTCCAATCTTATTACACACACTTCCATAGCTTGTTTTCTTTAATTGTTCACATAGATAATGCAACTTCCTGCTTTCGTTATTTTCAAATATACATAAAAATGTATATGTTACTATACCTGTACTGACTTCAACGCTATACGGAAACACTATATTTCTACACTCCTGAAATACTATGATGTACTCGTACATTGTATATGGAGAAATTGATTGTTGGTGTAAGTCTATTGTTTAACCTGTTAATTTTACCAATCATGAAATGTCTCACCTTAGCCCAAGAAAACAGAGTATGGTATAGAAATAATATTGAACCTTGTTGTAACAATCTTTGAACTTAATGATACGTCCGAGGAAAATTTCAACTTTCGTTTTTCCTCAAAAATTATATAAAGTAAAAACAGGAAGAACATTTCTGGGGGGTTTTTATGTTAAAAGTAATCGTTCAGAATCCTGGAAAACATTAAATTATTTTAATAACTAATTTCTGGATTAAAAATATCAGCGATACAAATTTTTACATATATATATCATCAAGCTAATGAATATTGGTAAAACTGGGTTCAAATATTTTAAGTTTTAATTACGTAATAACTACAATCCTTCTTAATTTATGTTATGTGTTTTTGTGTATTCATTTATGCCTTGTTTCATTATGAGTTATGTCCCTTGTTTTTTTGTTTTGCCTAGTATCGGTACTATCCAGTTGTCTCGTATTAAACAGTACACACAATATAAGTGAACTGTGATAATGATGATATTAATATAACATCAGGTTCATGAAAGAAGCAATAAAAATAAATATTAAAACAAAGATTTTTGTTCAACTTTATCAATATTCAATGAAAAATGCTGTTTCTCATCTCTATAAGAATGATGTTATTGTACATCATCAGATAAACCGATGAATATATACAATGTACTACCTTACACATCATAATTGATCAATGTCATGGGTTACCTCCCATAAGTAGACGCCTCATGGTCCTACCAGTGTCAAGGTTTTACACAAACGTCGGTCAGTACTGTACAGTTTGTGTAGGAGTATATATTCCTTTACATATCATTGCCAGAGTTTGTATGCGAGTGTCGGATACTGTTCTGGGTATTGTGTTATTCTGCTATTTAGAGTAAAATAGTCCTTTGTCCACTGTGTATAAAAGCTTGTGTCTGGGGCATGTGCCTACAATTGCCAGATTTGTGGAGTGTCCCATCATAAAATCGGATCTCAATTTATATTTTTTACAGACTTGTAGCCCTTTGTTTATTTAAACAGTTCACCAAGAAAGGGCTAACAGTGATCCTAGCCACATATGTAGTGAAACATGCTTACTAACTGGGACTTGAGCAAGTCAGAATCATGCTAAATGAAACGTGGTACATTACTGTAACGTGAATTTACTTTTGACAAGAATTCAATACTTCACAGTCAAAGATTTTGGAGAGTAATCTGGATTTTGTGTTGTATAAGGAGACCCATAATGATAATGTATACATTGGTAATTGAAAATGTAAATTTTAATTTCAAACGAAAAATAGAAATATATTCAGGTTTTCCCAAAATAAGAATGTGTACATTGGTAATTTTTAATTTTAATTTCAAACCAAAAATAGAAATATATTCCAGATTTTCCAAAATTTCTTACTTATTACAATGTTGGCAGCAAAAAATAGTTTCTTCTTCCTACCGATATTTGAGAGTAATGACACTTGACACCCATTTTTTTGGCCAATTTACAAAACAAGGCAAAATGTTTTAAACAATCTACATTGTATACTCTCCATGTATGGAATGTTTCCAGGTATATGTACAGAGAGAAAGGACTTGTGTCAGTACATGGTGAAAGATAGAATGTATCTTCTGTATAATTTATACAAAGAGGGACTCGTGTAGAGACTAAGGGCCGCGGTGGTAAAGACATTCTGCTACCACCAGCCCTCCACCACTGGGTCACGGTTCGAGACCTAGGTGGGGCAGTCGCAAGGTACTCATGGCTGTTGGCCGGTGGTTTTCTCTGGGGAACTCCAGCTTTCCTCCACTATCTAAACCTATCTATGACCATAGCTGTTAAAAAGACGTTAAACACAAACAAACTAAAACCAAAAATAGGGAGAGAAACTTGTGCCAGATAGAATCGTCGTGCATGTCCGGTACATTGAGCAAAAAAATAAATAGAAATCACAGTTTCGTTTTCATTTCAACATTTTATTAAGAAAGGAAGTATAAAATTATAGTCTGTTATGTCATATTATTGGACTGACATAATTTATACGGTAGTTAATCATTCTTTTGTTTCTCCATATATACAGTCTCCTTAATTATAGTTAAGACCATACCTATAGATGTGTGTACAGTGGATCTATTGTCAGATAATTCGTATGAAAATACAATATGCATCAATAGACATAATTCTTGACTAACATAGATTTTAAGATATTTCATATTCGAAATGTTAAAAGTACATCATGACTGCTTTTATTTAACAAAACATGAAAAGATTTTTTTATGAAATTGACATCAAATATTTCTTGAACACTTCTATCAGCTAAACTTAATTCTTACATTTCTAAAGATATACCAGAAGCTAATTTGACAAATACCACAAGAAATAAGAGATATAGAGTAGTTTAAAGTTACTCTAAGTTATAATTTGATCAGACAGTATTTTGATTGGACAGGAAAGTTTTTATTCTCTCTCACTACAAAAATGTTGATGAAATATTGAAGAATTTATTAATTGAATGAAAATGGTTGTCATTCCTAGACAGGCAGCCACATTTTCTAAATACAGGGCCGTAATTACACCAAAATGGGAAACGTGAATGGATAAATGATAGCGTAATGTTATATACAAGATGGCACTGATAAAACTATATACAAGGCTGTACCGCTGGTATCACAGAGGTACTTGTTATATACACGCAATGAAATAGTAAAATTAACATGACTCTGTAAATATCTTTGATCTCTAACTCAAACTGTTACAAGACTAAACATTTTCCAAAGATCATTCTTCAAAGAAACAAACCAGACGAAAAAAATTTAAGATGAATGGGTAATATTATGATTTTATTCTCAGCAAATTTTGATTTTCTCTCCTTTTTGGGAATTTAAAATTCTTCAAATTTTAAGAAATAATGATTTCCTCAATTCATCCCACTTAACATTCAACTGGAATTGAGAATGTGCTTCAAATATTATTATTAATGAAAATTTAAATATATTTCAATTGTGTATGTACAGAGTCACCTTAAGGTCAATAAATGAAAACATTGGTTATCAATCATCTTACAGAATATATATATATATACATCTCTGATATGTATTGGGATTCAGCCTACTTTGTACATTTAATTCATTTTATTATGATTATTCACATAGCTACATTATTCATCAACATATATTTCTAGCACAATTATTATTTCAAACATTCTCACTCGCAAATTTCTTAAAGACTCATTCATACATTTTTTCATCCGCTTAAAAACAATGATTTTTTTTTATAAACCACAACTTTCATACATTTCAACTTGCATATTTATTGCGTCATCCTGCACTTCATATTATGAAAAACAAAGTCTACAAAAATAGATATAAACACTAATGATAGGCAAATCTTTCCATGTACATTATACTACACTGATATGGAATGTATCTTGTTTATTTGTCACTAAAATGAAAATCCCTGGCAAGTTATCTTATTTATGATAAATTTGGTAACTTTTTCTTCAATACCTGAGCACTTATAGAGAAGAAGACTTCCTCGATGGGACAGCCGATACAATCTCCAACAACCCATTCGGAATTTGATTGAAGCACAATGCTACCAGTTACATGTGTGATTACATCGAACATATAAACAGATACAACTCTCTTTCCCTGACTAAAGTGTTAATTAAAATGAAGTACAATCATGATATGCAATAAATATTGAGATTACAAAATACAGGAATAAGTTTTAGAAAGGAATGTTATTATTGTCAGAACTTGTTTTTCCAAAAACTAACTTCACTAAAGACTGAATTTCCATATATAAGTATTCTGTACCCTTTATGTTGTACTATTTTTATATCAGATACATACAATATCTTTTTGTGATACTGGATTCTGCTAAAACTAAATAAAAACAGAGTAATCTGCCCTTTGATTCTGTGATGCACAGTATACTTTAAAGATATAATCCTCATATGGAACACTGTTGTGGGTGTTGTCCCAAACCGGAGCATGGGGCTATCACAGGCAAATTATTAAAACATTGATTAAAGTTAATTAACTTAAAGATAATCACAGATTATCAAGGTTAAATATGTTGTTATCAAGACAAATATATGAAAATGGTCAAGGTCACCAGAATATAAGAATGAAAATGTCACTTTTGGTGAAATGTAAATGCTTCAGAATTCGACAAGGGACATTTTTTTTCAGTGAAATAAATAATGATCTTGACCTACACAAAATTGGACAAAATGACCTTCAATTAAAATTGCCGTACTTAACTTTCAATGTGACATAATCTGAGTTTCTGTTCTTAGTGAGCGATTGTACATGACTTTAACCTTTTGTGTATCTGAAGTTTCTATGAATAGACCTGACTATGCAACACATGATTTAGTGAAAGAGGAACAGTAGACAAGCAGCCAAGACCAGGAAGAATGTGGATGGAGAAACTGTTGAAGACTTGCTGAGGACATAAATTGTTGTAGGTTTTTTGTAGGGGTTGATGCCAGGATCAAATCTCTGCGGACAGTCATCAACTATAAAACAGAAAATTACAGACTGGTTAGTTTCACTTGTGTAAGTCAAACATTTAAAGTTTCAGGATGTCTAAAAGGATAGAATTACCAAACAGCTTTGTCAAAAATCGATCACACAATTTGTTTATCTGGAAATTTGTTCATTTCTCCAGGAACCAGTGACATTTGAGGGAGGAATGAAAAATATTTACACAGCCTTTCTGATTGTGTAATATGGAGGGAGGAATGACAAATACTTACACAGCCTTTCTAATTGTGTAATATCGAGGGAGGAATGACAAATATTTACACAGCCTTTCTGATTGTGTTAAAGGGAAGGAAGAAATGACAAATACTTACACAGCCTTTCCAATGTGTAATATGGAGGGAGGAATGACAAATACTTGCACAGCCTTATACTGATGTTGTCATGTGGAGGGAGGAATGACAAATACTTACACAGCCTTTCTGATTGTGTTATATGGAGGGAGGAATGACAAATACTTACACAGCCTTTCTGATTGTGTTATATGGAGGGAGGAATGACAAATACTTACACAGCCTTTCTGATTGTGTTACATAGAGGGAGGAATGACAAATACTTACAAAGCCTCTCTGATTCTGTCATACGTAGAGAGAGACCAGTCCCAGCCATCAGGTAATCTTGGGCACGCTGTGTCCTAGGACAACGGGCATTTTGGGATCGGGACATCATGACATCGGTCCAACTGGTACGCTCATAGACCTGAAAATAAGATAAATCAGACTTTGATGAACAATATCATTTCATTATGAAGATAAACATCTGTGATCTAGCAAGAGCTTTGTGATCTTGTATTTTGCATTGTACCCTCTGAACACCAAAGTAGACAAATTATACAGCTATGTAGACTGAAACATTGAAGAACGATGAAGTGTTTATTCATGGACACTATAATGTTAACAAATTATTATTATTCCTGCAATAAGCATAGGGAGCAAACAAATGGGCTGAATACACAACAGACAATGAAAAAGCATTTGTTGACATTTCTTCTGAAATGTAGCAGATATGGTGGTCTTAACACAGTCATCTGATTGTGATGGCATATAATAGTACAGGTCACTGAGAACAGGTACACCACACGGGTGTTTCACACAGGACACACACATGTATCTTTCATACGCAGATGTGGGAGAAAAACATGATCTTCGATTTTAAAACGTATGATAGATTAAGTTCATGCTTACCCAACATCTGAAGGCAGAGATAGCATCTTCCTCGTCCCAGGTAATGAGGTAAGACTTGTAATCCTCCATCCAGAATCCAACACACATCAGTATATGATCAGACACATCTACACAACAAAAAAAGTCACAAACGATACAGGAAACATGATTTTAAAAATAATGCAAGGCTTTAAGCTTCTATAAATAGCATTTACCTATCTTATTGATCTTTTGATGAAGAAGAATATAAAGTTAGGTGATATTGTAATGATTATTTTGAAAGATTTTTTTTTTTTTCAATGTCAGTCAGTCAATAAATAACTCTGGGGAATACTATCACTTTGCAAATTAGGGCTAAAATCTGACATATTTGATACTTTTAAATGAAATAGTCATTGTATGCAAAGACAGAACAGGTCAAAATGCGTTGGATCTTTATTTGAGCAATTTTTAATTGATTCAGTGGTAGCTAATGACTTTATGCTTACCATACTCTCCAATTGGCCTGCCCCGATAGTCAACGGTCTCACAGTACTCGGCATCAACCTCAATCTTGGTCATATCATTGGAGCACGACTTCATTTCTGACACGATGATTCGACAGTCAACTTGGACACGGGGTTTGTCTGTAACACCACGGATACGCGTGGAGTATTTCTCCTCTTGACGGGATGCCATCTGTTCAAACTGGTATCTACCGGCAACAGGACACGGAACAGGGGACGGAGGGTTCACTGAAATAAAGAGAACAAAATTATATAAAGAAAACGTAAATCATGATCACATTTACAAAGCGGCTAGTTACAATTAAATAATATCTTCAGATATGCTAGTTATACAAAGGAAGTTCTTTAAATGTAAAATCGAACAGGCTAGCTCAAAGTAAATGAAAGTCAGGATTTAATGTTTCTTTTGAAAAACTATAAGCATTTTATATATGCCATTAACAAGTTGAATAATTACTTTTGGAGGTATTCTTATAATGAACTTTGAAATAAGTTTGGTCAAAATCTGTTCAGAAATAAAGTAGCTGGAGTGATGTCATCGAATAAAATCGAAAAAAAATCAATAAACATTATTGTTGGCGTTATCCTCGAGTTTGGATCCATAAAATACTCATTTGAGGTTTTCTCAAACTTAACCTTTGCATAAATCTTTTATATTCAAATTGATCAAGAAATAAATAAGGTTGCTAAAGCTATGACACTGAAAAGGTAGAGGAAGGGATGGAGCGGACCAACACAAACAGGGATGATAATACTCCCCCCACGTCACCTCATAAATATAATGGTCATCCAGGGGGCATAAACACAAGAGAACTAGGGAAATTGACTTGAATGGCATATTTAGGTAAAATAGAAATAAAAATATGCATACAAATAAGAACATTATATTTCCAGTCAGTGTCGTCACGGTTGAAGGTGAAGGACATCCAGCTGCAGGCCTCACGGAACTTCTTGGTCAGGTAGTTAGGGTCAGCTTTCTCGTCCTCGGTCAGTCTGTTAGGTTTACCGACTCTGTACCTTACAATGCTGTGATGTCTCGGCATGAGGTCAAAACACACAAAGTCTTTCTCACTGGAACAAAACAACACTTAATAAGTAAACAGAATGAACCTGTTAAAAAAAAAGTTGTGTTTCAGATTTTATAAGCTTTGAAGATGCATGCATGCCCTTTGAAAAATTGTTTCTCTGCTAAACACACAAATCACCATACATTCATAGTGTTAAAAGCTGAGTGAGGGTGACAACTGAATTATCTCATTCTGATATCACAATATCAATCATATAAAACAAAATTACACCACAAAGATGTCATTCAAATAAACAATATTTTTTGGTGAAGATCAGCAACTGTTTCACTTTAATCAATCATTTGAAATTTTAAAGAATCTCTGGAGAAACAGAGGGATAACTTTGCTAAGCTTAAAATGAGGCTCCAGGTAGGGGCAATAGCAAATCTTTAAATTTCTGCTTTATTGACATTAAAACAATCTCCAGTTTTTCAAGGAGAAATATACATAACTCACCATTTTCCCACAGTGACCTTTGTCATGAGGAAGCGAGTACCGAGCGTTTGTTGACAGGAGTAAAACACTTCCTGATACTCAAATTCATTGATAGCGGTGTAGAAAGTGATGTGGGTGTCGTTGATCTTGACGTTGGATCGGTAAGCCTCACCCTGAGTAAACCAGGTACCAGTGATGTTCCGGGGCAGGTTACATTTCGGAGTCATATACTCAGAAACAGGTGGAACTGAGGATAGAATGAACATTTATACAGTGGTGGGCCAAATTTTCAATGTTATAACCTCAAGAAGGAAATTTTGATATGTGAAAATATTCACATAAATTTAACCATGACGAGATCATAATATACAAAGTCACTTGCTTTTTCAAAATCTCTTCATTAATCAAATTATCATAAGATTCCCATCTTTATGTTTCATTGTTTCAAGGTCACACTTACATCAATGAAGTTGTGTCAGACAAACTGAGTTTTTTATAGTGAATGTATTACTGATTTTTTTATCATCTCCATCAGTGAAATTAAAAACAGCAACATTTTAGTAAAGCATATATGATATTTAATGGGAAACCATGAAATTTGCCATTAAAAAACAGTCAAAAAATTGAACAAACTTGTCAATAAACTATTGTAGTATGCAAGGCCTTATAGATTATTGTTGTATGATCAACTTCATGGGGTTCTGACAACATTGAACAAAATGTGATAAATCTAAAATATCTGGAAAATTTGATCAAACATTGATAAGATTTTTCTCTAGGAGACCATTTTGAATGTTCTTTTAGTTTTGATCATCAAAATTTTCAAATATTCAGACTGCAACAGGTTTTAATTGATTTTCTGTTAAGATAACCATACTTTGAGTAACTGTCCAGGTCTGAAATTTACATATAACAACTGTCAAGATCTCAATGTCTGAAATAGACACCTAATGTTTATACACACACACCATTAGACACGCCCCTCAGTGTTAGACATAGCACTTTACTCAGGATTCCAGTCTGTTGTAAAAACTTACTTCTGGTGAGGACAAACTTGGTCGGACCATTGTAGATACTGTTGAGTTTGGAACAGTCGGGAAATCTGGACATCACCCACCGGATCTGGTTGTTAGCGTCTTTCTGATTTTTCAGTGTCATCTGTTAAGGGATAAATCAAAGTTTGTAAAGCAACATCTAAGACAGTATGTCAAAGTTTAAACTCGGTTCACCGTAACCTGTGATGAATCATATAATGTAATGATATGCCCTCGTTAAAAGGTTATCAATTTGAGAGAACTTGATGTTCCAGTCGTATATACCCCTCAATGAGTAACAATCAAGTGCATGTGTAACGGAAAAAATGGTGATGCATAACGGCTCAAAATTCATGTGTGATAGTACCGTTACGCTAAAACAGCCTGGGAAGAACACTGCTCGACAAAAAGTGAAAGGCAAGATGGTGCAAGATTTTGATAGACAATTTCTATTTACAGTACATGGTTGTGGGAGTCAGATTGATAGTTGAAAACAAATGCCTTTCATTAAAATCTGATAAATTTGTGATAAAAGTTCAGCTTGCATGTGTATATGTGCAGATGTATAGTGCAGACTAGCTATAAAGTTAAGACATATAGGGAGAGTTTTAAGAAATCTGGTTGAAAAGTTATTAAGTCAGGGATGTATGTATGAAAAAGCCAATTTTCCAATATATGTTAAGATTCTGTAGTTGTGACATTGACCTTGAACAATGACCTTGACCTTAAAATGGTTTCAAGGGAAAAGAAATTTCGTTGAAAACTGTGGTCAAGAACACAATGTAATTTATGAAGCTGTAACCTTGACCTTGAACTGCGCAGTTTTCGTTTATCGCAGTCCAAACAGTTGAACTGGTTGGACCAGAGTTGTTCGTTTATGAAATAAGGTCGAACCCAGTAATACGATGCTACTTTCAGACGAGCCTTGACCAAGCTTTGCAAGGCCTGCACAAACTTTTGCAGGTCCGCCAGGGTTTCTACCCGAAAAGGTTACATTTAAAAACAGATGAACCAGTTGTTCCGCATAAACGAACAGGCCCCTGCTCTCAAGAGATTGATGCAAGATGTTAAAATACGGACTGAAATGCAGTATGGTGTATATATATACAAGTTGGGCACTGTTGGCCTCAACTGAAAATAAAACCAGACCAGGTTAGTACTATAAATAGTGCAAGCAGCAACTTACAAGACACTTAAACTTTTCTCTTGTGTCTTTCTCAACAGTATCAGCGATAGCAGCATAGGTGTATCCTCGTCCACTTCTCCTGGCAAACCAGGTACCCATACATTGGTAACGAGTCTCTGAAAAATAATATTAAAATTTAAATTCACAACAAATTATCTTATTCAAAAACCAAGAACTTGTACTGAAACTTCAGTTGAAGAAAAGTTTTTCTTTTAATCTGTAATCTGTAGATTTTTTTCCGCACAAGAATAAAATTTCTTTTATTTATGTTCTATTTTATCATTTTAAAATTCTATGAGGTTCATAGCCTCGATTTGGAGACAACTTAAACACCCTGACATGAGATTTGAATGTTTTTACACGAATTGAATGTTCTACTTCCTGCTTAGTTACTCACGTTCGTTCCTGGAGGTGGAGACATCTGGACATTTTGCGTAGGTCATCATGAAAACTTCGTTGTCAACATAAGCCGATCCAGGATCTTGACAAGCTTCGATCTGACTAAGAGCATTGTTACAGATACCACCACCACCGACATCCACCTCGTACGAAAACTGGTACACTCCCTCAAAAGTTGAGATACAATTCACCTTCTTAGGGGCCAGACCTACAATTATTAAAATTAGAATGAACATACATTATTTTCTAATTTTACAACAAAGTCTGACTTGATAACAACTATCAGACACTATGTAATATACAGTAAAACCTGATTTTACTGACATCTGACTTTACAGGACATCCTGAAATATATAGTGAAACCTGACTTTACTGACACCTGAACTAAATGACATGACATTGATGTCATTTGATTTAACACTTGACTTAAGCAACATTTGACTAAGATATCCTGTAGCATCTGAAATAACCTTATATTACCATAAATAACTAGTTTTTGAATTCTGTAAAGACACTTTATCACTTTAACCCTTTCACCACTGTAGACCATAATGGACTCATCCAGATGAATGTATGGTAGAGTCCACTCAAGTTACCTAGGGGTGAAATAGTTAACAGAGATAATATTCATAGTTTAATCGATGTTATTAAAGCTACTTGGAGACCAAATCTGACATTACTTATAACTACATGAATGTGTGATTTTCAGGATGAAAAGTTTTATTTTAATCAACTGATGTGAATTGGATAATTATTATTATACTCACGGAACATGGTAATGGCATCGTCTGTTGTGGGTAGCCCATAGTCAGGTCTCATTCCTTTGCAGGATGTATTCAAGCTGATGTCAAAACCAGAACCAGACCTCACACAGTCCTCTGAAGAAAGGAAAATTATATGTCAATGACAATATGCAATAAAATTATATCAATTAATCAAAAAGAAAATTGGATGATAGTCTTTCTAAAATGAATTCAAATTTCATACAGACCTTCGTTGTTTTTTTATCATTTTCACTTTTGATCACTTGGAACCAGGATCATGACATTTAAAGTGTGTTTTACTTAAATAACCTTATTTTTTTTTTACCAATGTTATGCAGGAAAACCTGTAACACAATTTCTTATTTGGCCTTATTCAGAAAGATACAGAGGCTGGACTTACCTTTTCTGTACTGTAGAATATTAGGGGTCCTCCAAAGCACATCAACACAGAAGAAGCACACCGTTGCGCCAGGTTTTACATTCCTGGAGGAAAAACCAGTAAAAATTACTAATGTGAAACTTAAGGTAGATACTGTGTGTAGACAGTTACATGATTCTTACAAATATGTATTTATGTCAAGGATAAGGGAAAAAACATTCAGTGTCACGAAAATCCATGCCTAACTTTCTCTCTCAAATCGTAAGTGTAAGATCTAAATTCACCATCTATTATTTAATTCTAAACACAAAAGGATTAATTTCTAGAGAATTTTTTTTTTGTTTCAAACAAAATTTACAAAAAAACAATTGATTCTGATAATAAGTAGGAAACATAATATTTAACACAACTTATGATAATTTTCGCCAAATCTCTGTATTTTACTAATTTAACCAAAAACTTAGAATATTTCATGCACCACAGGAACAATGTATCAATTTATTAATACAGACTAAATTTTCAGTTAAATCAACAGCAAAAACTAGAAAAATGGATATCACATATAATTTACATTTCTTTCATGAGCATAGTTGAGTTTCGACCATCCTGAACAGTTATTCCAGTAAAGGGATGAATATGCATGTCCGTGCACTGAAGCGTCTTGGCGTTGCTACCCTGTATTTCCCATTTTTCTGCGTTGACGATTGTCTGGGTGTCGACACCAGCCTCACGGGTGTACCAGTCTCCGTGATATTCCTCCGGAATCACACAGGGTTCATTTGGAATTTGTGATACTGCAATGAATTGAAACCATAAGTACAAATTAATAATACATTTTATTTATTTTTGATGTATTTTTGTTTTAATTTTGTCTTTTCATTATTCCTTAAGTTTTACCAAGAATATGAACTACCCCATTGCATATATTCAAAATTACTGTAAATATCTCATTTCAAGCTCAATAACTTTGATTTACCACCACCTCCCCCTCCCAAAAGTTATAGAGAGGTATACAATTATTATTTAACACAAAGAATTAAAACAAAATAACTAAAAGTAAATACCAATATTTTTGTGTTTTAATTCTTGTGTTTTCCTTATCATTAATTAAGCGGTGAAGGATATCCATAATACTGGCAAAAAATATAGGTTTGCATGGAATCCCCCCCCTCCCGAGTGTTAGATACACTGCAGACTGACTAGGATTTGAACCATTATACTGTTGTTCTAACCAGCTCAGCATTGGTTAAAGATATTACACTAGCTCAGTTGCAATTGTGCTTCAATTACCGCCAAAAAGAATTGAAGGAGATCAGAGAATACTTTCTGGAGGAAAAACACCAGTGGAACTCTCTAGTGTTTGGAATACAGTAGGCTATAGGCATCCTTAATAGTCAAGCTCAACTGATTTGACTTGTAGACATATATGAGTCACTAAAGAGTTTACTAAATCCACATAGCAGTACACAGAGTAGGGTACCTCAATTTGATATCTACATGTCTATGAAATATTAAATAATATTTATTATTATTTAAGTTGGACATTCCTTTAACAAAATAGCATTCAATAAATGACATCATTGATGGATTATGTATATCTATATCCTTCAACTTATGCCAACCCTGTTGGTGTATTACAAGTATCGAGTCCATGAATTCCCCATTAGTATCAATCATGCAAGTATCCAGTTAATTGAAATATTGGACAATATATAGGCTTGCGAAAACAGGATCACATTTTAAGGTGAAGATATTGGTTAAAATCGTATTTGATCGTCAGAGGGACATTGGAAATATTTCGAATCTTGTGTTTCCGGAAGTAAGGAGACTAAGCCGCGCTATGTTTACAGGTGTACATTTAGACGAACAGGTGTTGTGCAATCGTGAAACCTATAATACCATATACAATCTAGTTATAAACGACACATGAAATGAATCTGAAGTTTATGCTTACCTGCAGACCGCCATACTAGCGTTAAACTTAATATGAGTAGGGCTAGACCCTGTTGACTGGGCGCCATGTTTTCATCTAATTCAAAATGGCGTTCTCAGGTGTGTACCGCAGGTAATCGAGGCCTCACGGGGGGTAATTTTCAGGTAACGATAATCAGTGTGTCGCTCCGTGTCACAATACAAGACAAAATGGTCAAAATTATGAAGTATTTCAAATTACTAGGTACACAAGTTTTCAAACAAATACATATTTTCACTGTTTTTAGATATAAGTAGAAAAGAAATATTAAATACCCTTATTTCGCCTCTCATAAATACCTATGAGTTGAGTAAGTGTAAGGGAGTTAAGCAGTACTGACTATTCTTTCGCGGTACGTCATTTTCCGACTGGATTCTACGTTAATTTACCATTTTTTCTCGTGACTTCACTTGCCATCCAATTTTAATAATATGTTTTACATTCTGAAAATTATTCAGTGCCTCTTCTGATAATATTTAATGCTATCCGTGACTCTGTTACTGAGATATCACTTTTTATACCTTCATAGGTGATAAACAAATCTATGAAACGAATAAGTATATTGATATGGTCAATAAAAGCGCTATATAGCTCTCTAGTAATGTGCCAAATTTAATAAATTACCGAAAACGAAGTCTAAAAAGTATTTTAGTTTTAGAAAAGTAAAATTAACATAAAATCCAATGGAAAAACGAACATAACGTGAAAGACTTATGGCACGTCACCGTATAGTGGTGGCGTACTTACTTTTTATTCGATCTATACAGATAGATGTTTACTATTTCTCTCCTCGTTCTTCGTTTTTCAGGGGGAAACATCAATATATAATGCGACTGAATGGCATCGAAATTTATCTACTCTCAGCTTATTCAACGCCTTAATTATTGCGCGTCAAATCACTTTACCTTTTTCACGGACAAAAAAATAATGAAAAACCCCAAAATCATTCGACAATTTTCAAACATGCGCCAAACAAGTCCGTTTAACAGTTACTTTTTGTTTTGAGCAAAAAATTAAGAGAAGACGATTTAAGTGAAATAACGTAGTTATAGCTAAGTAGAGCAGTATTATTGCCATTGTCGAGCTTAGTGATTTGTCACAATCAGCAAGAATTCAAATAATATTATTTAATTTCCGACTTCGTCCCGTTTTGGTAACTTGAATTTTACACACAGATAAATAATTAGTCAATGCTTCTAGCTATATCTAAGATTAATATGAGTAAATGTGTCAATGTAAATGAGATATAGAGTTTCCCAAACTCGTGATGGTTGGTTATCATGTTTATCTCACCCTAGTTAGTTAATAATTTTCCAATTGTTTAAAGACACGAGGTTTACCGATTGTCTTTTACAGTTTTAAAATTAACTCACGCGATTTAAATTTGGTTTTAGTTTGGTTTTAGTTTGTTTAACGTCCTATCAACAGCTAAGGTCATTTAAGGACGTACCTACATGTGTGTAGTGTATGCGTGCCTGCGTGTGTGTGTGTATGCAGGAGACAGGGTATGCTGGTGTGCTTGCCTCCTTGTGATAGCGCGGATCTGATGCCGACTTTATAGTGCTGTCTCACTCAAATACCATGCCGAAGGCACCCAACACAGCTAGGAAATAAAAGGTAGTTAGAAGTAGAAAGAAAGATAAAGATCCCAAATATTGCAATGGGTGCAGCAGATTTATTTTGGTCGCTTTTGTGTCCCCAAAAAGAGGACACCAAAGCAAATCTCCAATTCTGCAGGGGGTTCCCTCATAGGTCGCCTCCTACGAAACATGCAGTTGGTGACAGCGGGTGTATTCTTTTCCGGATCCCCCACCTGCAGGGGTGACGCGAGTAAGATAAACATGATAATCAACCGTCACGAGTTTGGGAATCACTTTCTTAGACAACGTTCTGATATTATCTATAGAAAACCACGTATCTTTTGGAAATATATTAATCCTGTTTCCGTTCGGGGAAACAATTGTCATAAAACTATAATGTCACACTGGAATATGACGTCATAATTAGAAGATTGACCAATGAAATAACGTCTAAAGTGTTACCTACTGGTGGATAAAACCAATACCTAGCAAGTTTATTCAAAGAGTCGGGAGTGAGGAAATCTTTAGTGGTTGTGGGAGAAATCAATTTTTGATCCCGACATAAAATTTACTTTGACATAGCCAGTTAAATTCTGCCGTTGAAAGTATTACTGGTCATTCAAATTATACTACGATTTAAATTCAAAGAAATGGGTAAATGTATAAAAGCTATCAAAAGAAGACGTGTATCCCGTCAGAGACCAAACCAACTTTCTTGTAACTCACTTAAATCATGTAAAACAATCAAAATATCACATGTAAACATTGAAAACAATTTTCGTCTTTAAGTCTCTTCAAATATTTTCCAAGTCGTTGAAAAAATAACATTCTTTTATTAATTTCTAACTGAAACAAGAAATTAGGCTTGAGCACAAAATCTATGCTTGAGCATGAGAACGGTTTCACGAGTACAGGGTCCGTATTCATGAAACTGTTTTCATGCTCAAGCATGGCTTTTGTGCTCAATCATAATACTTGTTCCTGTTATAAATGATTTTTAAAATCTTATTTTGTCAAAGTTTTGAAGAAAAATTGAAGAGACTCTAAACCGAATACTGTTTTCAATATTTATAATTGAAGTTTTGTTCGTTGACAAGATTTAGGTGAGTTACAAGAAAGCTGGCTTGAGCACAGAATCAATGCTTGAGCATGATAACTGTTTCATGAATACGGGCCCTGGCCTGGAATCTTGAGGGGAATTCGACGTCAACGCTTCAGATCATTCAAGAACAACGGCAGTTCACTAGTATGATCTATATCGCTATCCTACGGGACCAAACTGGAAATGTAGAGAGGCGTTCAACGGGATTCATCTATAGAAATCCGACAGATGTATGCCATTTAGATACTAAAACAAAGGCGAAACAAGTTCTATGATAGTATCATGGAGACCGTTACACAGTTTTTCCATTGCTGTCGTCTGCTTCAGTCCCTCGGAACCTAAGAATGGTTGTTCGTGTTCATTTTTCTAGAGTGGCTCCGAATAAGGGAAATATTACTGGGGAAAGTCGAGCACGTGTGGGTGACACACTGTTCTATCACATCTATGACGTAGTGCCATGGCCACTCAGTTCACCAACAAATGAAACTTTCAGTGTCATATAGTACTGACGTTCTAATTGTCTCCCGGTTATAAAGTAAGAAAAAACCTTATTTTGATAGTGATTTGGAAAAAAATTATGGAGAGACTTAAAGCCGAATACTGTTATCAATATTCACATGTAACTTTTTGATCGTTGACATAATTTAATTGAGTTACAAGAAAGTTGGTCGGAGCACATAATCCATACTTAAGCATGAGCACGGTTTCATGAATTCGGGCCCTGGAGCCAACTTGACTAACTTCATGTTTTCCAAGAGGGTGAGGCCCAAATAGGGATGCTCGGACATTGCTTTGAGGGTTTGGTTAGGGTGACTTGTACTTTATAAAAAGTAGTTCACATTTCTTGGTGATGAACCACTTGTCTCCATTTTTTGGCACATGTCTCTAAATTAATAAGGTCTTCTTGCAGGATTTAATGTAGTCCGAGTCCCCTCTGGCCCTGACACCAGACAAAGGCATTTTGACAAGTAGATGCCGTCTACATTATCTGTCAATATGTCTTAGTCTGGTGTCAGGGCCAGAGGAAACTCGGACTAGATTTGATGGTCACCCAGGGTCTTGCTCACTCTTCATAAAAGCAGTCACCTGCGTACCAAAGACTTTCTTTTTGGAAGGTCATGAAACGTCCAACACGGGTGGTCGGGTGGCGTAGTGGATAGCGCACATGCCTTTCACCAAGGCGGCCGGGGTTCGATTCCCCGATCGGACGTGAAAAGGTTGGGGTCACCTGCCCGATCACGTGGGTTTTCTCCGGGTACTCCGTTTTCCTCCCACACTAAGACCCCCCATGCGCTAACATCCGGGCCAACAAGAGTGATTAATATAAGTTGAAATAACTTGTTTCATAATTGTTGTTAAATAAATAAAGTTTATATATTATATAAAGTCACCTTTAACCCGAAGACACACGAACTTTTACGGTGTGTTCCTGTCGACGTTTTCCATCTTCCGTAAGAGTTTATCACGAGGGACGGAGTTGAGTGCTTTGGAAAAGTTGAGGATAAACCGTGGTTAGTGTGGTTTATGTTAGGAAAATGTTTTCCAATATCTTGGATGTGACAATCGTAAGTGGCGCGGGCCTGCGGTTCTGTGCAAATTTCTGTGTCTACCTTCTTGAAGACAATTAAGTGTAACTGTCAAGAATCCAATCAGGGAGGCTAGCTGACAACAATTCAATGACTTTTGGAATATCGAGTTCAGTGTATTTCGTGAGTTTCTGTGTCGTTTTCACTTGCGAATCTGAGTGATATTGGAGTGTGAAGTAGGGTCACCAAAGAATCTGAGTGATATTGGAGTGTGAAGTAGGGTCACCAAAGAATCTGAGTGATATTGGAGTATGAAGTAGGGTCACCAAAGAATTTGAGTGATAATGGAGTGTGAAGTAGGGTCACCATAGCATTGCTGGATGCGGCTTATTTGGCAAGTAACGAGTGGGTCTCCCATTCTCCATCATTCAGTGATGTCGCCCTACAATATTTAACTTTGATAAGAGTTTCATCGCACTGTTTCTTTTGTTGTAAATATCTTGTCCTGACAGTTGCAATAACCACTGATCGAACTAGCTTCCACGCGACCACAATGTTAACCTGACGATACATATGGGACAGTGAATTATCTTGCTAGGCGCTTTTCACGGGTTGATACTACTTCAAATCGGGGCTAATCTGTTCCGTTTATAGTATCCATAAAGTCTTGAGAAAGGAGCGGTCCTCACGTCTGGTATTAAGGACCTGAGGATATACTCCTGCATGCACAGTAACTGTCGACAGATTTAAATTTTATATAAAAACTTTACAGAAGGATATATCACAAGGCAGTCGTATCCAAATGTCAAGATCACGACAAATTGTCCAATTTAATGATTATCCCAACAACTTTAAAACGATTGAACAAGTCACAGATGGACATACAGTTTTGTATTATTAACTTCCGGGCCTGTACCCCAACATTACGGCAACGGGTCAAAAGTCAAACTATTTAAATGTCTTTTTTTAGGTTGATCATTAATTACATATTTATTAAATTTGAGGTTTTTGAAGTAAAACCAATTTTCATGATGTAATACTTACCATAACTTTAGTATGCATATACAATACCTACACCCATCTTTGTAGCCCAAAAACAAAAGATTCAAATATCCCTACCTCCCTACCGTGACGTAACCTCTATCTCGATGACAGAGCCACGGAGTGATCTCCCTTCCTCAAACCCCCTTTTATGGAGCCTAAAGGCAGCCAGGATGAGGAGGCAAGGGGAGGAATACAGGGTGGGACTCCATAAAGTTATGGTAAGTATTACATCATGAAAATTGGTTTTACTTCAAAAACCTCAATTTCATTTCAGTAATAATTACCATAACTTTAGTATGCGAATTCGTCTTACCGTAGTGGAGGCTTCGAATCCAGGCAGACCAGGCTGACGGAACAAACTCGAGACATGCTCAAGGTAGGGAAAAGGTTCAAGGAACCCCCCTAATAAAGCCCCGAAAGTAATTAAAAAATGGAAAACCTCCCCGTGAAACGAGCAGGTGTACCACCGTGGTGCCTGATAGCATACTATTTAAAATCACTGAATTACTGTGGAGGAACAGCCACAGACTGTGCAACCACCACCGGTCCAAGGGAATACAATCCATCAGAATGAGAGGCCAAGGACCGGAGATAAAAATCCGTGAAGGTAGTCTGTCCGCGCCAGAAAGCTGCGGACATGACCTCCTGAAAGGGGGACCCATTGAGGAGGGCCCATGACGCAGCAAGGGCCCTGATCTCATG